GAGGCTTAAACTACTATCAGAGAAGCGTGTGCGGTAACTCCCCTTTCATGCCTTCCTCCATATGCGGTGCAAGTACGCTTCTTTTAGTCCTGCCAGTAGCGTCAGTACACTGCCATAGTAGCCAAGCGGAATAGTTCTTTCAGGCAATTTGATAGCCTTTTTTTTTTCTTCTGGATTATAAGTCTGCATCGTGATGTCGAACATAGAAGGGATTTTCGTAAATTTTCTAGAGGTATTGTTTACTATTCCTCTTCCACTACTTTTTAGAGTAAATCAATCGTGGAGGTTGTGCGCTTAGAAAATGCTCTTTTTAAGAAACGAAGGGCATAATAATCCGTTGTTGAAACAATAGCGGATTTTGCAGGAATACATTGAAAGGTATATATGCAATACCTTAATCCACATTTTAATAAAGAATACATAGGTACTTTTCGGATTATGATTTGTTGATTTGTCTTGACGAAGTTTAATTCTTTGATGTAATTCGGATTCTCTTTACATTTTTTCCGTAAATATCGGACATATAACTTTCTCTTGATAATACGTGAAGTTTATTTTAACATATTTCTCACTCTTCTTATTTTTAATTTCGCACTGTAAGCGGATCTTGCGAGAATTATAAGCCCCTTCCTGAAACTTCCTTTGCATTAACGGAGGCAGATTTATAAATTTTTTCTCTTCATTCTCAATAATAATAGACGTTTTATTTTGCAGTCATTTAAGTAAATCTATGCTTTATCAAGGATCACAATGTATTTCCCTTTATCTCCCGATAAATAGTTTTCATATAGAGTTTTACAAATCGTTCTGCATTGAGCCATATGCTATTCGGCAAAAGCTGGTGAATGTTATGGCTTTTAACTTGTTTAAGTTGTAAATCTTGGTTTCTTTATTTTATTTCTTATTGATACAGTTTCACTTTCCAAATGATTTCAGGGTCGGCGGATTATCTCTTGGCATCAACTGTTTATCTTTAGAAACATTAGGAAAATTACATACTTTTTTCTGGTATTCATTTGAAGTTTTCTTTCCATGTAGAAGTAATGATTGACGGTTTTCCTTATCCGAATAAAGTAATGTTGCTTATTGTGCATTTAGAAATTTTAATACCATGTATTTCAGCACGCTTTTGAGTTATGGAATAGGAATATTTCTTTTCATAAAAGTCAAAATCGTATCCCTCTGCCCACAGCTTTTCAGATATTATGAAAGAAGAATAAATTTAAAAGTAGCAGATGATATTTCTTATTTTTCAAATAATAAGCTTCTGTCAGAAATTTTTTTTTCAAACATTTTCTGTTTTAATTGTTTACAGAAATCGTTTTAAAAATGTGTAAACATCTTCTGTATTTGCGGAAAGTAATTTAGAATTTCATATGGAAATAAATATGCATAACGTTTTAAGGAAATGTATGTGTATTTATGATGATTGCCGACATATATGTAGATTTGAATTATGGAACTACAGAAATGAATGATTTTGTGATTTTGTGAAGGATTTATTAAGGAAAATGGATTTTATTTTATATTAGACAGTAAAAATATCACGGAAACTTCAGTCTTTCCGTTTTGGCAAAGGAATTCATAACAGGGCTAAACTAATTTTCATCATTTTATCAAAATGAATCCCTTTTCGCCTTAGCTGGTAGAAAAATGACTTTATCTGCAATTATCCTGTTTAATTGTTATGTTCAGACAGTCAAACAGCCATACTGTCCATCCGAAACCCAGGCAACCATTTTCATTTGGTCACCCATGAAATTAAGGAAATCTCTAAAGATCCATAACTTGGATCAAAGGGCACAGCTGCAACGCTGGCAACGACACAGCCGGCAGTCTTGCAAAAGAAGACGTTGTTTCCCAAGTAGGAGGAAGACTAAAACATAATATTATTAAAAAGTGCCTAAAGACAACAGCTGCCTGCAGAAAAATTGCATTATTTTCTATCTGATACAATCCTGCTTAAGTATTGTGTGAACTGCAACTTGTAGTAATGCATTAACTATGAATTAGGCCTTTATTAAGTACAAAACATATTTGCAAAAAGTAAGTTTTGCTGCAAGCGAATAGCTTACGCAGGAAATATTTTGGATAAAGTAAATATGCAATCAAATGATAAAGGTAAAAACTATGAGTTTAATGTTTATTTAATTGAACGCGGCAAAACATCTAAGATTAAGGGTGTCTTCGTGGAGGACTTTCTAAGGGAAACTGGTTTGTATTAATGGAAGGGAAACCCCGGAGATACTCAGACATATAGACTATTCTCTAGAGTTCGAACCAGAACCTATCGACTACTATAAAAAAAATCAAGTACTTGGTTACTGTTAAGCCAAACATTTAATTTCTTTGCAGTTGTATTACAATTCTAAATGCCGTTATGTTATGACTGCAATAATAGTTGCATTAATATAGTTTTAACTATAAAGTTACTACAATGAATTATCAATTTTGTTCAATAATAGATAACTTAATTTTGAAAGATAAATTAAAGACCTGCTTTACCGAATGATAATATTCTGAGAAATTACTATATGCGAGGGCACATGATAGTTTAATTATGACCTTATATTTCGCGCATTGGCAGTACTTCCCGAAAGCTGATTTTAGATTATTTCCGTTCATCCCTTCAGTCAATTTCTGAGGCATGTTCGCGTCTGTAAATTTTATTTCCGAGGACAATGTCATAATAAAAATAATGCGCTTCAAACTGCGGCTAAAATTTAATTGTAATTATAAATCGTGCAACATTATAATTAAACTAACTGCAGTTACAATTTTGTTGCAATTGTGCAATTTGTAATATAATTACATTGCATTTGAATTAATTGTAATTGCTCAATTTATAATTACAATTACATTGTAATTGAAGGGTTTCAAATTTCACTTACATTATAATTGCTATAACTAGAATTACATTGTAATTTTAGCTTCAATTACACTGGAATTGTAAGTTATTCAATTATAATTTAATCAGTTAGGCTATAATTGAATTACTTATATTTGCAATTAAAATATAATTCAATTATTAATCAATTAAATTGTAATTCAATTATGACCAACACTTCTATAGACCCATTTCAATCATTCTTTCACATATGAGGGAGTTACGTAAATTACTGACAGAATAAAGATCTCTAAAAAGCCTCATATATTCAGTTCGGTAAAAGATGGTACAATATTTACAGTAGCAACAATAAAGATAATTGTAGATGAGTCCGTGTAAATGCCTCCTCCGTTTTGAAATTAATTATGCATTCGTTTTTGTTCAGAGATCTTAAATCTAGGCCTTATTTAGTTAGGGTTTTATGTTTATTAATTAGTTATTTTATTATTTTGCTTGTGCTAGCACTTCTATTTTTATCGGCTCCCCTCCAGGATGCAGTACACACGAAAAGATTTCTTGAACTTGAGAGAGAGTTTTCTGGCAACGAACCGCTGACCGTTTTGATCCGATGTTTTTCCCACTTATGAATTTATTTGAATCTTCTTTAACCAGAGCTAGCCGTGTTTGCTTGCATGAATCGAGGGTCTGAGACAAAATTTATAGGCAATTTGTCTTGTGAATCTCTCATATTTTAAATACTTGAGCTTTACTTTAAATTTTATGCTCGGTAAATCTCGCAAGTAGCAGAGCTTTTATGTTTTATACATGAGTTTTATACATAAGTTTTATACATAAGTTTTATACATTTTTTGTGTTTGATACATAAGTTGTTAAATTGAAGAGCCAGTAAAAAAGGTTTGCTTTAAACTTTCTCCTGATACGGTGCTGCTTTACAAGATTACGATGAGCGATAAGTCGCCCGGCCTGCCTTTATGAAGACAGGAATTAACATTTAATGCAGTTATGCTTCGCTCATGCTTAGAAATTGAGCTCACAATGTATGAGCAAATAGAAAAGCTCGTATTCATTATCATATCCTGTACAGGGTACCTCTAACTGTCACACATTTGGCAAACGAAGTATTTTAGATCTTTTTCGATAAAACTACGAATTTTTTTATTTATATTCATATCGTGAAATATCGATTCATTGCAAAATAAATGTTTTTAATTTATTATTTTCTTTCAGATACTGAAATGACCTGGACTAATATTCACAAGGTGTACTTATGGGGCATTTCTCTATTAATTACGTGGCAAATTTGATGATAATCGTTAGCTAAATTTCGGAAAATTTTCTGATAGTTCCTGAAGTAATGCAAACTAGGGTAAATATTTTATTATTTTAAAATAGTGCCTATAGTAATCACAGCAAATGTCCAAAATTATGGATCTTACCAATGCAAACTTCTTTTTGAGGTGAGTTAGTAAAGAGCTATAACAATACCTGAGGATTTTCTATATATGAAATCTCTTGTTCTTTAAGAAAGTAATTTTGTCTATTGAAGAAGCAAACATTATGGTAAATTCTGTGAAAATGAGCACAAAATTTCCGCAGAACTATTAAAATCTAAAATCGGATTTTCTAATTCAGTTACACAATTACAATTTTACAATCTAAAATCGGATTTTTCTAATTCTGTGATTTAGAATTTTACAAAAGCGTTTCATTTCAGAAAACGCTATATTGAATAAAAAAAGAGGTTATCATTACCATTTTCAGTAAAATGTTTCTAATTATACTTCAAGATAAGCCATGTCTTTTTTAATATGCTAATGATAACATTCTCCGTCATAAGGATTTTATTTCAAAATTTTGTTCGATAACGATAGAGGATCTTCTACCTACTGCCTTTTTTGTGCACTTCTCTAGCATTCAAAAGAAAATCATTTTTATTTCTCATTGTTTGATGACGATTAACTGAAACGAGAAATTATCATTATCGACTAAATGTCCCGCAGTCATGAAACTGTCGTAATATGTTTCAGCAAAACTGAATAATTATACTGATTTTCATAAGAGACTTTTCGGGTCACGTGATTCTTAACACTGAACCATGGCTGAACTGAGTAGGGAAGGAAGTATTTACACCGCAAGGCAAAAGGGAAAGTTGTCCTTCACCGAATGTTGTAGCACTGTCTTGAAACTGATTAAAAGGTTGTATTGCAAGGCAATTCATATTTCTTGCATATGATTGGTGATTCATACTTCTCTTTTGAGATGAATAAGGCGATTCCTTGAAAGTACAATATTAAATAAGAGAACTGAGATAAAGGATAAAAAGACAATCACATTAATTTCTATTGTCTTTCTGACTTCATTTTCAACACCAAGCTGGTCAACATCAGTTTCCTGAATACTTCTGAAAGTAGCGCACGTGAGTATATTCTTTCGGATATTATTTCGTTATCGTTGAATATGTTTGAAAATAATTGTAATTTTTCTAACTTTCGTTTCTTTTTCTTTCCTGTGTATAAGCTTAATTTTGGAGCCTTACACAGATCTTGTTATCTCAGCAAAATTTTGCTATGTTTGCAAACAATTTGTGATGTTTAAACGGAATTAATTTTAAATACTTCAAAAAATATTTAAAAACTGCTTGTAGAACCGTTTATTTATGTTTAACATTTCCTACGTTTAATTTAATGCATTCAGTTTTACAGTATACATAAATACAGATACAGATTTTTAAGCGATTAATATTATTTTTTTCTGAAAATTTATTTCCCCAAATTAAAATTTCCAGTTTTTAACTTCGGTTTGTTGCCAAGCTGTCAGTGTTTGATTAAACTCATATTAAATGAATTTAAAATTTCTTATAATATTTAATCTTATTGTTCTCAAAATTTAAATATTCATTAACGTTCTTAATGAGAAAAGTTGTGTCATAAATAAATTTTTTCAATATTATAATTTGACCACTGAACTTGGTTAATTTAATTCTTTATAGTTTTTCTAACTAAAATAAATTAAAATTTCATAAATTAAAATTTCATGAAATTGACTATCTCGTACTTTAAAATTCTTATTCAAAAAGGTCTTTTAGTCATTTTGAAAACTGAATTCATACTTTTGTTGATGAGATGGAATCTATGCATTTCCTTTTATACAAGCAAACGTAGCAAGTCAGAAATGTTGCAGAAATTCTGAAGTCATATGGGAAAGATATCTAAACAAAGGGTAAATCTCATTCAAAACTGAATATAAAAAGTCTTAGTACTCGAAAAAAAGATGAAAATATCTTCAAGAAATAATAATGAAAATTAAAAAAAAGAATAAATAAATTTAAAAAAAAAAAAATTCTTCCCCCCCCCAAAAAAAAAACTGCATTTGGTTTACGTTGCACTAATGTTAAAAAAACATTAGATATGCATACATACATATCATATTTCTTTATTTTTAAGACATCATCGTTTATAAGCCGCACCTCTTGATTTCAGCACTGTCAATAGAAGAAAATGATTTTAATTCTAAAACAAATAAATGTATTAGCAAAAGCTTTTTTAATAATAGACTTCAGTTTACTGACAACAGTAATACAACTATTAAAATTAGCAATTTGAAAAATCATTTGTTTTCGAGATACTTAGTAATTGGGGGGGGGGGAATCTACGCTTCTAAAACACCATACAATCTAAGACGTATCTCGTCTTTTGTGATATTTAAAAGGGGGAAAATGCTCACCTTAGAATGCAAGAAATATGGCAACACATCTTACAAATGAAGAAATGTATTATATTAAAATATGTTGAGCGTAAACTTTAATAGTTTGAATAAGATGAAACGTGAAGTTTGAAAAATCAGACATGAAAATTTCAAAATTCACCTGTAGACTCAAAACAAAGATCATTTACAGCTACGTTTTCATGTCCTATTTAATATCTCCACTTTACATAAGGCTTTTCGTTTTTATTTCATGCTAGAATGAGTTTGTTTTCTCCTAGATGAGAAAGAAAAGAATTTTCTTCACGCATGGTTCAATAGCAGTGTTGAATCGTCTTAGCGTGTTAGAAGAATATTAATATATTTTATTTTATTCTTCACACGTATGGAAATAATTTATTATCACCAGTTAGTATGAACAGGTTACAAATAAAATAACTGTTTTATTTATCTGTTTATTTCATGATTATATATGTATTAAAAATAATAAAATGCAAAAATTAGTTAAAGTCGACTTTAAAAATTAGAATCCGGGGATAATACAGTTGAGAGTTTTATTAAAAGTATAAAATTAAATAAATTAAATTAATACAATTAGGAGAATTTTGAATTAATATTTTTTTAGAAATGCAAAATTGGAGTGAGAAAAATCTTTGAAGTGTAATTTGAAATTAATGTATGTGCATGTGAGTTTGAAGTAAACACAAAATAAATATAATTAAAAAAATTGTTGCTAATTAAATGATTTTATATTGACTCATTAGGTTTCAAAAATTAGTTAAAGTGGACTTTGGTTTTCCTGATTATTTAAAAGCCCATTAACTATTTTTTAGAAACAAATATATGCTTTCATCAGGTCAGGAGAAACAGAAAAACTTATTTTAGGATTCTTAAATTGTTGACTGATAGAATGATTGGGGTTTACATAGCCAGAGAAATCAATTTAAAATCATTTAATTAGAAAGAGTGTGCTTGATTATGTTCATTTTTATGTATTTATTTAAAACTCCCATTTACCTACATTAATTTAAAATAAAAATAATTTTTTTTTAATTTTAAATTACAGTAGATGTAGGGCTTTAAGTAATTTGTTTCACTCCTCTTTTACATTTCCAAACAAACTAAACAAAACTATCCATACTGAATTCTAAAAATTTTACAACAAATTTTGAGTTCAAAGTCTTAAAATTTTTTCAGATACAAACTCGGCAAATTAAGCTCTAAGTTGTAGAGTTATGAGAAAACTGGTGCAATTAAATTATTTATTAGTTCAATAGTATATGAATAAATATTGCAGAGACATTAGGTTATTTTCGATCTCAGGAAGTTGAAAAATTAACAATGCCCTCGCCAGGTCTCAAAACCGGATCTCTCGAATACGCCCGGATAGTGCTAACCGTTACACCACGAAGGCACACTGTGAGGGAGAAAATACCTTATATACTCCCCCCTTTTAAAGGGAGACTGAGGATTAGGGGATCAAGCCGCTAAACCCTAGTGGTGAAGAATCATCATTCACCTCCTTTTAGTTCAAGCGCCACTGTACATACATTAGATTATTTTGATGCTGGAGACGTGAAAAATGAGCAATGCCCTCGCTGGGACTCGAAACTGGACCTCTCGAATGCGCTCCGAGTGTGCTACATACACTACGAAGGCATGCTGGAAGGAGGTAGAAAGTATCTTAGATACTCCTCCAGTCGCCAAATCCTGGTGGTGAAGAATCATCCTCCACCACCTTTTAGTTCGGGCGCCACTGTAGAGACATTAAGTTATTTTCGATGTCAAGAAGCCGAACAAATGAGCCGTTCCCTCAACGGGACTCGAACCTAGACCTCTCGAATACGCACTGAGTGTGTTAACCGTTACACCACGAAGGCGTGCTGGAAGGAGGGAGAAAACACCTTATTATATAAAATATGATATCACAAAATTTCAGTATCTTTCAAATGTAAAAGAAATCAGTTCTTTTGGTGGATCAGTCCGGAGTATTTATGTCCCGACCATCTTCAAAAGGAACTTTTTTGTTTGTTTAAAAAATAATTTCATCTCGTACATTGTAGATCTTAATTTTATAATTTTAAATGAGGAACACTGCAGTGTTTTTTTTTACTTTCATTCATATACATTAAATAATCATTAATTTACGTAAAATCTTTTAATAAATTGAATATTCCGACAAAAAGAATTTTCCAGGCCCCTCTGCATTAGTCTGTTTTTGTTTTACATTACATTAGTTTAGGTTTTTAGTTTACATTATATTAGTTTACGTTTAAGTTAAATTAGTTTACGTGTATGAGCGTATAATCTTAAGATATCTGTTAAAAATTTTAATCGACAATGTTCTTTAAATTTCTTATATAACAAAAAAAAAAAAAAAAAAAAATGTTTGAAAATATTCTGTTTAGAGCAAATTAGTTATTAAGGATTGACACTGATGTTTTCTATCTCCATAAAAGAGAAATTTTCCAGACCCGTTTTTAAAAATTAAAATGCGAAATCGGTGGGGGGGAGGAATTCGGAGTTTAGCCTTTTGTTCCTGCTACTAAACTCATATTTTTGTAATTTGTATTTTATTTCGATACAGTTGGAAAAAATAATAAAATTTTTCATATTTTAAATATTCTAAGAAGATTTAGAGACCTCCTGAAATGGAAGGCTTACTTGAAATGGTTCGCATCAGCGAAAAATCAGCTTATACTAACTCTTAGGAATATAACATTGAAAGACACTGTGGAAATCTTCCCATGCACTCTTGTGGGGCAGTGGTAGTACATCTAGATAAAGCAGGTATAAGATTCATGTTTAGTTTCCTTGCGAGGATGCAGTTCATATTTCATGCTTCTCGGGGAGGCACTGAGAGAACTGATTTCTTTAGTGGCACCCGAACTGAAATATGACCTATCCAAGCCCATGCATACCTTTATTCGGCTGACAAGGTCTCGTTCTCATAGTCTCCGGAGGGCAAACATAAGGAATTATGGCATTCCTTTCATGTGCCTTTGTGATGTACAGGTTAACACGTTTAGTTAGCAAATGGGAGATTCACGGTCCGATTTCAAGAGAGACTTTGTTGACTTTCAGACTTCCCACTCCGAAAAAAACTTAATAGTCTCTCAAACTTCAACAAAACAACCTTTACTAACGTTGAAACGTGCCTTCTCGCTGATTACCCAATTGTTTACAAGATGCATTAACTGTTTATTTAATTTTTTATTTATTACAACACGTAATTTATGAATACAAATTTTAATGTGGATACGTGTATATTTTATTTTATTTCTATCGTTTCAACTTTAGTTTTGTTTACCTCTGCATATACTATGCCAGTTATTGCATATTTCTAGTAAGTATGTGAAGCGAAAAAGATTGAAAGTACTAATTTTAAATATTATTCTAGTCTTCCTTCTTCTAAATTGTACTGCATCTTCAAAATTCGATGCAAATTTTTCATCATCAATATACGCAATCTGGCCTTTTTGAAATTACTGCGTTTACCTATGAAACACAGTTCACAGATTAAAAGCCTTGACACTCTTCTCTTTGCATCATGAGGACTGCTTGTGCTTCTCTCCTTGATTCCCAGATTTTTGAAGTAGAATTTGGGTTACAGCCTAAAAATTATTTCCATCTTAAATGTTGAATAACCTTAAGGCAGTGCAAAAAATAGTCCAATGAAGGGTAATATGGCTTAATCTGGGCTGCCCTACACAGTATAGTGATTGACGGAATGTATTCCATACCAATGGAGTTGGGAATGAGTCTCATGTAAATTTTGGAGGTTTGTCATCCATGTATTTACGTGAAGCAGAAACGCATATAATTTATAGGTTGCAATTCCCCTTGTGTAGCTCTTGCACTAATATTCTTCTAAACCAATAAACACCACCCTACATTGTTTTTTCTTTAAATCGAATGCTGCGGGCTTTGTTAACGGATATTGCTGAAGAGTATCTTTCTGCGTACACTAATCTAACTTGGAACACATTTTAATATTTTCAACAGCTATATCATTCTGAATGCATCAGCCTCATTTGCTCGCATCTTAATATTGAAGGCATAGCTGCCGAGCGGTAAAATCGCTGAACACGGGTAGTTCCGATCTGGGTTCGATTGCAGGCGAACGAGGTGGTTGCGTGAACATTTTCGTGGTTTTCCCACTGCGTAACCTATATATGAGCCAGTTTCCCTTAGAAAGTCATCCAAAATGACCTCCTCCCTCAGGCAGATAACCCTAGAGTGCTTTTCCGTAATCTCAATAAACCAAACCAATTCAAACTTAATATTGAGAAGCAGAGATAAGGTTCTTACTGTCTCTGTGTAACATCAACGATATTTCAGAATGGCGAATAAGAGTACATAACCTTTTATAGCATTGCACAGAGAATTCATCTTAACTTGTCATACGGTGATAGTATGAAAATTTATATTTTTTAATGCAGCGAAGGTACATTATAATTTTAACAACACAGAATCTGGTGAGGTAATGTTGGAAATATTCCCTGATTATCGTATTTTGAACAAACTAAGAGATCTATGATAATTCTTAATATTTGGTTTCGTAACCTTAAAAATATTTCTTCTGCACTTATCAGAGCCAAGGAAAGAAAAGATTTTATACTCGTTTGAATACCATGCTACTCCTAACTGCCGCTAAGTTTTGATTAAGTGATATGTTTTAGAGGAGGTATTCAAAATTTTGCTTCTACCAAAAATAATATCTCAAGGATGTCTTCTGTTTATTGATGGAGTTAATAAAATAACGGAGGTCAACGGAAAACATCGCCTGTTGCTTCTACCAAAAAGAATAGCTCAGCCATCATTCTTAAAACCAATTATTATTCTTTCTGAGGAAAGTTTGAAACACGGAATTCTCTTTTAAAGATATCATCGAATAAGCTAAACTAATACGATATTTCTAGTTGGCAAAATCAATTACAATAAGAAATTATTTGGAGTTTTTCATTCCATGAAGGTTAAAGTAAGTAAACAACTGATTTCTTTGACCTTCAGTCACAGAGTCAAATAAATAAAAAAAATATTAACTTATGCTATCATTTTATTAAAAAGCTATGGTTTTTCTCACACTGAAATTTCTAAACTACGTACAATCGAAACTACTTTATTTAAAACCGCACGAAATAAGCAGATGTCCGAATTTTTTTCCCTTTTTCTTCTTACTTTACATTCATAAATTAATATGGTTATAAATGCCACCATAGAAATGATCATATGATTATTATTAATTATCAAAATTTATTATAGACCACAATTTCGAATTTCAAATATCGGTTTCTTAAGCAAAATGGCAAATTTCTCATACTGAAAAATAAACCCATTTGCAGACTTTAAGAACTAAATTCTCGCTAAATCCGAAAGAATATTTCATTCAGAATTCAGAATTTTTTCGAACTCCGTAGATGTAGTGAGGAAAGAAACATGAATTCAGAGTTTGAGGAAAAAAACCTTTTGCTTTTCAAAATCAAACAACCTTAGTTTGACATTCGTCTCAGAAAAACTGTTTATTTCAAAGAAAAGTAATTATTCAATAAGCAAACAACTTGCGTCTGATTTAATAATTCTTAAAAATATGTAAACATATATATGAATCATGGAAAGAACAGATAGGTCGAAAATTTGCACCTGCGAAAATATTAAAAACATAATATCCGTTTTATTTTATATATTCTTTTAACCTCTAGCTTAAAGATATATTAAAATGAAGTTACAGTTTCTTACAGTTGTGAAAAAATGTTTTTATAAAGAGATAAAGTTTTTGATTATTAAATTAATTATATTTCAGTGAAACGCTGACCGCTTTTTACATTTAATTGCACTAGTATTTGCAATGATTAAGTATTAATTATTAGCACCTTTTGCCTTAATTTTAGGATTAAATTTATATGCTTTGTGAGTGCTTCTAATAGTTGCATGGCATTTCTTATAATCTTTAGTGCAGCATTTGTTGATACAGGTGAATAATTACACCGAAAATTCATGCGTTTCATGTAAAATACCACTTCCGGTTACTCCGTTTTACCCTAAATCTAGTCAGCTTTTTGTATTAATATAGAAAGCTTAAATACAGAAGACGGGAATTTTTTAAATATTTCATATAAGAGTTATAGTGGACAAAGATCATCACATCCATACACACATAAAAACACTTAGGCAGATAGACATCATTGCAAAAATAGTAAAATCGTGTTATGAAGCCCCTGATTCGTGTGTATTCGCTGAAAACTCACTATCAAATTTTTGCACCAAAAACGTTACCTCCTTTATCTACGTATATATGTTGGGAGGTAAGAAGGGAAGTTACTAAATTCCAACCAACATCCGTAGTGATGATAAGCACTGAAAAATAAAATAGAGCACTTAAAATAATATAAGTAATGACTGACATTCAGATGGAACAGAAATTGTTTCATAAATCGGATTCGTATAGTATTATTCTCTTTCTTTGCTTTTTACTTGCACGTTACATATAATTTTACCATCTAAATTTAGATTATTTAGGTCATGGCAAGCCGTTCAAATAATATGTGGTAAAAACATGGAAGCCTACGTGAAAGAATTTTTTAACTAAACTACCTCGTTATCATGTTACGCATTTAGAAAACTATGAAAGCTTCCAAGCAACTAACCCATTCTCTGATATATGAAGCGTTTCGAACTATCAAATTAAACGGCTTCACCGCTTGGCTGCTGGTAGGCTTGTTTCACCATTAGATGCTTGAACTAATTGAATCGAAGATAGCTCAGCTCCATTTTATCTCTGCTGTTTGTTGGGGCTTATCTTACTTGTCTAAAGCAGAGTAAGTCCACGAATTTGAATGTGGCAAGAAGCGCATGACTTCATTTGTCGTTGACATGAGTCTAGAGATTCGAATCGCATTGTTCATCGTATAACAACAATACGACTCTATCCAGCTCCTTCCTAGTTTTGAAGGGAGAATCTCTGGGAAATGGATCTAAGGGTCTCTCACCTTTCTTTCGCTATCACCAAACAGCTCAAGGGTGTTTTCGATTCGCCGTGTATTTTGAGTGGTTCTATGCCGCATAAGGACTATTTTGTTACAAACATGCCTGCCTTCTCATGCGAGCGGTAAAATATTAACAAAACCGGGTAAGTTAAACCCGGATTCGAGACTCGCGCTGGCTGCATGGGCGGTTTCGTGGTTTTCATTGAGTGTATACACTCAGGTGAGTGTAAGACTTTATAACGTGGATACAAGCCGGTTTCCACTAGAAAGTTCTCCAAGAAGATATCCCTTCTCTTAGGCAAATAGTCTTTTACCATAATCAAGAAAACCAAAGCAAACTAATTCATTTCTTATCGGGAATTCGAATTCAAACCTAAAGAATGATACAGCAGCCAGGAACTCTAAGCACTAACAGGTCGGCCATTTTTTATCTCTAACAAATTTAGAGATAATTTATTTTTCGAAAGGATAATTCTATGTATTGAAAGCAAAACATCTAAATTTTTTGGAGAAGATAGTTTCTAAAAATATATGATATATGCGTTCTTCTGCGTGCTTCATCTGGAGTACGAGTTTACTCCATAGGCGCAGGTGTATGATAAATGCATTCTTCTGCTTGTTTCATCTGGAGTACGAATAGGCAAATATATGATGTATGCATTCTTCTGCGTGTTTCATCTGGATTACGAGTTTATTCTCTAGATATCACTTGCGTCTCATTAAGTTTCACTGTACAATAAGAGAGGTTTAACAACAGAAATAATAAACGTGGCAATTTCTGTGCATTACAGTGTATAAGAACTTTTAAGATATTATCCAAACTTTTAGTTCTGTTAACCTTAACTTAGAGGCACCTCAAAAATAAAATTTAATTTTTGTTATTTTTCCAGCATCAGTGATGGCTGTAACATTGGCGATTGATGAAGACTATGGCTATGTCATTCTCGTAGGTGTACTTTCTATGCTATTCGGCTATGGACTTGGTGCAAATGTTTTCTTAGCGAGAAAACGTTTTGGTATAAAAGTGAGTTAATTTTCTTATTACCTTTTGCAGTGAAGTTTAATATTTTTTTTTTATATTTATTTCTTGCATTACGTATTTTTTACATTTGTATTAAGAACATTTTATCATTGCTTATTTCAATCCCTAAATAAACCACTTCAAAAAATGACAGAGACGCTTTAAAAGTTATTATTATTATTTTTATAGGAAAGGATGTCCAGTGTATAAAGGAGACAAATTTGAGATTTTAAAAGTGACTACTGTAATAGCTGTGAAATTTTACCTGAAATTAGAATATTAATCAGATAGATCTTTTTTCGATGTGCACATTCAAATTGCAGCACAGCTTCGTTTTTGGCCTATCTTATGGAGATGTGCTTCACTTATCCTTAAGGTTGCTTGTAGCGTTTCCTTTAAATGTTGACCTTCATTTAACTAACTTTTATTTGACTAACTTTAAATTACTTTAAAGTAATTTCTGTTGAATTAAATTAATGTTTTAGATTCCTAGTTACCATAACAGTACTTTCCTTCAACAATTGCCCCCAAAATTTTTGATTTTCCGAAACATGTTAGTTGACTTTTATGAAGCTTTAATTCATGTTTCCTTGATGAGTTCTGAATTGAAGTTTCAATAAAAGGAGATTAATTTTTATTTGTATAATTTTGTATATTTTCCTTTTCGCATTTTTATTTTTCGAGATTGTTCTACTTGAACTCTTTCTTTAATTGGATTAGTTTTGATACTGTGTTAAACCTCTTATACACGGTTGCAATTATTATATTATAGTTGAATTGCCTTGCTTTCATTCCAATTTACTAATTAATTTAGATACTTTGCGTTTATATATATATATATATGTAGAATCGGAACTTACTGTCTAGGAATATGTTGTAAACTTACTTCGATGTGGCTGTCTAGGGCTAATAAATAGTCCGATTTATGTAAAACTTGAATATTTAATGAAACATGAATAGTTGCTACAAACTACAAGGTAATTACATACGTAGAAGGAAAAAGATGAGATTATTTACAGATGAAGAGAAGGAATCGTATTTTATAAGCAAACATCTTTGAATCGCGTCATCGTCTTAATGGCGGAATCGTCTGCCTTCTATCATCGAGAAAGTAAAAGATTTATTCTCACAGCTTGTCGCGTTGTCCGATAATAATGAACGATGCCATCCCACATATATATATGTAGATATTTATTTTTAAGAATATTTAAACTCCTTATGCACTACATAGTATTACGCAAAGATTACAAGGGTAAGTAAAAACAATACCACAACACAAGACAAAATATAACAAAATTAAAAATTCACAAAGAAATGTAAGAAATTAATGTACAGGAAGAAATGAATGCCATTTTATCTTCAAACACATAGAAAGGGAAGAAATCTTAATGTTTAAAAAGTTACAAATGAATTCTTTTCTTCGTTCCTAAGCTTTGAACAGTAAAACAATGAATATTCGATATTTTGCACTTCCCCGAAGCTATAAGAATACATGATTGTACTAGATAGCCCAAAATCTATCCGGATATGGTTGAAATTACCATGCTCAGTTAGGAATTTAGTAATTTTTAAAACTGTAGAAAAAAGGTTTATTAATTAGTCTAAGAGAAATAGAAGGAAACATTATTTAATCAGAAAGGCAGTAGAAGAATTTCTGTATCCTTCCACCTGCAATAATACGGGATTCTTTCAATTCTGCAATAATACGGGAAATAGTCTTTTCTAAAGATGCTCCCCACACTTTAGAAGCATAGCAAACAAAAGGGACTATAACCTGTCTATAAATCATACCAATAATATTAGATTTTAAACATAAAGCATTGCAAAAGATACGATCAACCTTCTGAGTACATTTTCGCATTTTTTGAATAAATACATATTACGATTTTCCAGAAAAACTTATGATCAAGAATAATGTCTAAATATTTTATTTCATTCACAGTTTCGAGTAATATATTATCAAAGTACAGTTGCTGGTTTGTACAACTGACATGCTTTCTTTTAAATTATCATAATTTTAGATTTATTAGAGTTGAATTCCAACTTCTGCTCCCTAGACCAATCTGAAACCCAATCAAAATTGTTCTGAGCCTTGTTAAAAGGAGTATTGGAACACTTCCCTTGAAAAGAAATCAATAGATCATCGGCAAAAGCAATTGTTTTACAGCCCGAAAAATCTGAGAGTATAGAAGGTCATTCATAATTAAATTCCACAGTAAGGGTCCAGAAACAGAACCTTGGAGAGCAAATCTTTCTAAACTGTGGGAAGTAGAAACATGGCCAAGGGAGAGCAACGCAGATCTGTGATGAAAAAAATCTTCATTAAGGTGAAAAATATTGCCTGGAACTAACTCTAGCTTTTATTAAAAAGGCAAGTATTCCAGGCCACTATTTAAAGGCGCCTCTGATATCAAGAAACACGAAAACTATGCGTAAATTCTAAACGAGCAGTCTTTCAGGTACATCAGAGCTGTCTTTCGGGTACAGAAGAGCAGTCTTTCAGATACATGAGAGCATTTTCACAGCTCTTATGAGGAGCAAAATCAAACTGTACTTTGTTTAAGAAATTTTTATTATGTAGAAACTAAATAAGTACATTAACAAACAGTTTTATAGGCATTTTTCTAAAATGGGAACAAAATTAATGCATCTCAAATTTTCTGATGCAAAGACCATTTTTCTTAGGGATCGAAATGACATTTGGTTTCTTTCAGCAAGAGGAAATGAACCAAGTTTAAGAAAAATATTGGAGATTTTAGAAAACAAATTTTACAATATTCTATGAACTTGCTTCAAAATTTCATTTGAAATAGAATCAAGATCAGGAGGCTTATTGTATTTAAGGCTTTCAATTACACTATTGAACTAGTAAAAGGAATCCTGATTAGTAACATTGTTTATAGAAGCTTTAAGCCGAATCATAATATGAAACGAATTATGCGTGCTGAAAAGGTCAGTGAGAAAACTTCTGTTAGGAAACTCGTTTACTATTTTAGCGATTTCCTACGATTACCACATAGGAGATAAATTCCAGTAACTTCAATTCTTTTCATAAAATTTTGCTTTGTATCATTCGTATATATTTTGTTCCTTAACATTCTTTTCATTCATTAGAAAAATCACTCCAAAGATTACGCTTTGCGCCTTGGAGCTTTGAACTGTAACTATGACAGAAATGAAAATATTTTTGTTTTTAAAGGTCTCTAATAGTAGGATTGCGATTTCGTTTAAACCTACATCTAGCAGGATTAATTTTCGTTTTCATAAATGCGACTTCAGTACCTTGTGAACTCTTCGATTTAAGCTTTTGATGCGTTATATAGAATAGAGTCCAGTTTTTAAGTACAGAGTTTAAGGCATGCTTATCTGAACAGCAGTCAATGAACTACCACAGCTCATCAACCGATTGTCTAGATGAAAAATAAAAAATATGCCAGTTAGCTTTCTTTACCTCGAAGACTATCTTGCTGTTGTCTCTGTCACAAAGAAAGTCATCAGGTGTCGCAGATAGATCAAACTGAATTACACTGTGATCAGAGAGGGATTTATGACGCGTTACACACACACACACACACACACACACCCAAAAAAAAAAAAAAAAAAAAAGACTGGTCCAATAAATCATTGCACTTACAGAATCAGTTCTCCATGACATGATCACCATCAAAATAGTTCCCTTCAGCATTTACACACTTCTGCATTCGGTGCTGGCATTGCTAGTAACAGTTCTGAAACGAGGTTTTTGGAAGGAGGAGATTCTCCGTTTTTGCCTGAACTCTTCAACTGAGGTAAAATGGGTTCCCTTTAAGCAAGATTTAACTTTAGAAAATAAAAAAGAAAGTCTCATGAATCCGAATCAGGTGGATAAGGAGAGTGCCCCATCACAGTAATATTTTTGCTGGTTAGAAACTGCTTGATAGACAGGGCCGTGTGAGCGAATGCATTGTCCTGGTGCAACAGCCATCCATCACTTCTGAACCATACTTGTATGTAGTAGAGTTGATTAACAGTCTGACCACTGGGAACACTTGAGTGTGTTCCATTATAATAATAATTATAATTATAATTGATTATAATTCCATTAATGTCGAAGAAGACAATTAAAGATTGCCTCTAATTTTCATGTCTTGACGTTCATTATCTTCCACACTGTCCTTTCCACATGAAAACTTCTTATGCCATTCAAACACATGTGCACGAGACAAATTTTCATCTCCTTAAGCTTCGGTTGACATTTGAAATGTTTCCGTGACTGATTTCTAAAGTTTCACAAGCAACTTGATTCGCTGTTCGGTTTTTACATTAGTCATTTTTCTAGCAGAATGCAGTTGCACGTGTTTCCTCAATGACGCAGTCCTCCCAACTGGCGTGATCGGTTAAGTCAAAACTGGGCGCATGGATAGAGGAGGTGTGTGGCATTACATCACCAAAACAGTTGTCGCCAACTCCACTCTTTTTTAAGCTACACACTTAATCTCGTTTAATGATAATTTCAATACAGCTTGAACATTGAGTACTGCAGAAAGTGAGACCGCAGTCTTCATTGATAACGAAAAGATTATTCCATTAAATGCTTTTCTTTTAGAGTTAAAAATGCATTAAGTGCTCCATTTATCATAGAATAGCTGTTAATTCATTCGATATATGACGATTTCTTATAAATCTAATTTCTGAGCTAGCAATTATTTTGCAATGAAACACACTACGTATCAACATGCATGAGTTTTTTTAATTTTCCAAGCGTAAAACATAATTTACTGTTGTTAATGCTTTCATTATCCCTAAATATGTCAGGATTTTGATCACACAGAACAATTAAAACATCTCTATTTTCAGTTTCATTTAGCGCATGAACAGAGCGCGGCATTTTTAAGGCTTTGAAGCAGAAGAAATTAGCTCAGGTTTGTTCTTTATTTCATCTTTTAGTTTGTCATGATTAGTAGAAGAACAGCATTGCGCAAAAATTCATCCTAATATCACTAAATTCCTAAATCTCGAAAATTATCCCGATAAGAAGTCATCCTAATATTTTTAATATCTTATTTCTTTTCTGTAGAATTAATCTTTTCTTTCAAAAGTATTTTAACATCGAGGGATGAAAAATTTTCCAATCCAACAGCTGCTGTAGTCACGTGACAATTTATTACATTTTCTTCCCTAAATAGCGAAGAGTATCATATCAGCATAGGAAGGTTTCATAACTTAAGCTTTCAAACTTATTACGCAAGCTTCGCGATAATCAGCAGGTCTTTCGAAATTCTTAGTTATAAGAGATTTTAACTTACCCTAAGCAGTCCTGGCATGTTCTCTCTGCTCACCATTCATATTACATTTACACAATACTGATGTGTTGAAAGTACCATAATGTTTTTCAAGAGACTTGTAGAAAGCTTCTTCATCTGCTTTCTGAAGTCTTGTACCCGTAATTTAATTATTATGCAAGATCAGTTTTCTGTTCGTTCAGACAGTTGATAGCATCTTTTTTGAAATGGCTGGTAGATTGTTTGGCCAAAACAATTACCTTCATTATGCTTAAGTGGTTTTGCTGAAAGGAATCAAGCCTTTTTCATGATTCAAATTAATGAGAACGCTTAGAGTTTTGTGAAAAATGATCGGCTTAGAAACGCTCCACTTTGTCTATGGCTACCAGAGCATTCCGTTTCTTGATAAAGTTTTAGTCATTGTCATGAAATACACATGAACTAATGTTAGATGTTAAATGCTAATACTTAGAACCACCGGAAGCTTTATTCATCATTTCTGATAGGCTACCTTTCCCTTCGGAGGAAATCAGCAGCTTATACATTTTTAAAGCATGTCCTTGTTTGCTAGAATTTTCGAAATTTTTTTTATACTTCGAAGCTGTATAATAAAATTTCAAGCCCAAATCTTTCTTAATTCAATGATTCTAATATTTTCAATTTTCAGCAATTCGGTGGATAAAAATATCAATTTTGCTTATGAGTTTTATTTAAACAACCTATTTGTATCTCTTTTGTATCTTTGATTTATACCAACGTAACCCATTCTCAAAATACGGAAAAAATTTCTATGATTAGTAGCCAATAGTGAACTAAAGTATTTGTGTTCTTATTTTTTTATACGAACCTTTAGGAAGACTTTGTGAATGAAACTTTCCATTTCGTTTGAATCCCATTCTTGTTGTTGCATGCATCTACTTTTTGCAATAAGTTTTCGTAGTATTTTTCACGACTGGTAAATCAATGTCAATGGTTTGTTTTACGAGGGTTGGAACTTTAATAGTGGCAACTATTTATTTACAAGGAATACAAAAGTGATTCATGTCACCATGTTTTACAGTCCTTCAATATAGTCGCCAGCCTTGTGTACAACCCGTTTCTAACGATGTGGAAGTCGCAGAATACCTGTAGCAGCGCCTGTTTTGTTGATAGTTTGAATGGACCGGTCTACTGCCGCAAGAATCTCAGGAACAGTTTGGAAGCGAGTGCCACGAAGTGGTTCCTTCATCTTAGGAATTAAGTCATAGTCACAAGGGCTTAGATCTGGGGAGTATGGTGGATGGTAAAGCACTTTCCAGCCCCATCGCTTGAACAAATCAGTCACAGCTTGCGCTGCATGCGGCCGAGCATTGTCATGCAAAATGAGAGGAGCGCTCTGCAGAAAGTGTCGCCGTTTTTTTCTCAAAGCTGGTCGGACATTGTTCTCCAAAAATGAGCAGTAATACTGCGCAATGACGGTCTGCTGTGGGGGAACGGTATGCGTTAGGATGACACCATCACAGTCGTACACGAGAATCACCATAACTTTCACATTGCTGGGGTTCTGTCGAAATTTCGAACTTCGTGGTGACCTGTGATGACGCCATTCGTTTGATTGGCCTTTCAGTTCTGGCTGGTACGATCGGGCCCAAGTTTCATCCAGCGTACTGATACGGCGTAAAAAAGCATCTCCTTCGCGCTCATAGCGCTCCAGGTGGGTTCGGGCAGCATGGTATCGTAGCCATTTCTGCATTTCCGTCAATTGATGTGGAACCCATCGTGACGCAATTTTTCTCATGGACAGGCGTTCCTTCAGAATGTGCAGCACAGTCGTATGCGCTAATCCTTTTTGTCCGGCTAGCTGACGAATCGTTTGGCGGCAATCACTGTCCATTAGTGCGGCAACAGCTTGCACGTCTGCATCGCTGACACTCCGACGACCTGGCCGCAGCATGTCTGCCACGTTTTGCCGTCCTTTATTGAATGCTTTAACCCATCTTGCTACGGTTCTTTAAGGCAATGCAAATTCCCCGCAAGCCTCTTGTAGCCCTTGATGACACTGTCGTGCTGTACGACCTCTGGCACATTCAATTTTTATCCAACATCGTTGTTCTTGTTAAAAAACATCCTGACAACACTTACTTTAGACCGCGAGCTAATACAAGGATTCGTTCTTCGCGTCACTCCGCATGCGCGTGACGTAGGCAGGACGAGTCTTTTTACTGAGAGGTAAGGTAGGTATGTAATTTACGTGTGGTATACTCGATATTCTTTGGTTTTGTTGCGTAACGTTTTTTTCAGCTGTGTTGCCACTATTAAAGTTCCAACCCTCGTAATAGTGCACTTTTCTCCTGCCTGCTGAGATATTTTTCTCTAATGTCAAAAATTCCTTGACATAAAATATGTGACCTTGACTTAGAAGACAATCGTGGCAATGAAGTCATATTCTCTTTAAAGTCATATATAGCAATCGCATATTATAACCACGCTTTTATACAGACATATTTATTTACTAAACGAGAAGATAACTCCTGGGAATGCTTTTATCAAAGAGTACATCAACTCTGTAGTATAAAAGAAACTAGCATTGAAAGGGACTAGGAATTGGAATCTCGAAAGTATTAGCAAATAAGACTTTCGATGAACATTATACTATAAATAAATAAATAAAACTGTTTTACGCAGAACTGCAGTGCCAACAGTATTTTTAGTAGCATTCTAAGTTCAAATATTTAATTTATTTAAGTTTTTTTTTATTTTAGGTATATTAATTTAACATACGGCACACAATTGTGAGCATTTGAAACGTCACTTTGGTCAATTTACATTATGCATCCTAAAATTTTACCGCATCCTGAAATTTATTACTTTAAGTAATAATAGGCAATTTCACTAAACCACAATAACCTACTCCTCTTAAGACCTTTTATAGTCGCGAACGCATAGAAATGTAGTCTGTTGAAAAGTACTTCAAAATACAAAAGTCACCCTCTTATACAACTTGCAAAACTACCTACTTCTACAGCTTCCCTGTATTAAAAAAATTTAAATGTGAGTTTTATTAACCAAATGTTAATTTTAAAAAAGGAATTCCTTATATAATAACTGATAAACTTTGGTTAAACCTAGATACCACTGTTGTGATTTCAAATGTTTAACAATAATGTATGGCAATGAAATTCTGTTAGATTCAATTATCTAGTCACTAATTAATGTGTACTTTTTCTATAGTATCCTGCTATGTTCAGTGAGACAAATATGCAGTTTAACTGCATGCAGCGAGTGCATGGAAATTAGTAAGTTCTATTTTCTATATTTTCTTTGAAAAGAATGTTGCATATTTTTAACATTCTGAATAAAATAATATAGCGCATTAGCCTGCATTTTATGTACAAAACTAAGCTCTTGAATATAAAACAGAAACACTTAATTGTTGATTATTTTTGGTAACAAAGCGAAAAATGTTGTACAGGATTTTACTTTAAAGTATTATCGTGGTTATTACAGATTTATTATTATTAATAAAAAAAACTTATAAATAAATGTAATTGCAAATCTTACTGCAAACTAGTAAGGATTTATCAGTTGCTGTTTGTAAGCTATCTATTCATGTGACAAATATCAGTTATTAAGAGTTACGGAGTTATTATTCTATTCGAAATAAAAGTACACAAGATCTTTCCCATTCGCAGTGTAATATTACTCAAGTGTATAGCGGGGCATAGGCCAGTATTATGGTTGATAATTGTTAACGATAATACTGGCTTGTAATGCTCCTTAGTACTTTGTCTGTGTTAAAGTGTCGAGAAACACAGTAAATTAAACAGTGAATTATCTCAAATATGTATGATAGAGTCTTGAGAAGGGTTAAAATACTTTTTTGCTCACTCAGAGAAATAATAACAGATGACCTCCTTCACGGGCTTACAGGAAAGCCTCTACTCCGGCTTTTAAATCAGAATAAGAAAATAAGAAACTAATCTAATTCTAAACTAGACTTAGCCGAAGCTAGACACATATACCTAACGTAGTTGGCCTTTTAATTAACCTAGCCGGCGATTATCAACAGGCGCGTACAATGCGGTCGAGCGTACTAGATTCAAGAACAAAATAGCCAAAAGGCATGTACGGGCCACTAAGGACTCCCAAGCACTCTCTCTCGAAGTAAGTAGAAATTCCCTTAAATACTCCTTCTAACTCATTTGCGTAAAACGTAATACTAAAAAACTCATTCTGGTAGGGACTAGTAGATGGGAAAGGAAAATAGATAGTAAAGCATGTTTAAACTTAAAATAACTGTTAGAAACTTGCTGCCTTTCAAAAATAAAACTACTGCTTGTTACCAGGGGAACTGCATTAAACTCGTCACGCAGCTTGAGCACACGTACTCTAGAGATCTAGATTTCCACTCTACTACACTCCACTATCAACATCATATTATGTAGTTGCTACTAGGGATTTATCATTCAAACGGCCTAGAGAAATGCCAGACAAGAGAAGGTGGGGCTATTCGACGCTTCATGCGATCTCTATATTTCAAAATAAAACTGCGCATTGTTAACTAATCGGAAGGTAAAAGCAAAGCACGTATTTTTGAATGCTTTATATCTTAAATTTATTTTAAGCCCAAAGTGACTATTAGTGTAAAAACACGATTTTGCGTGGTTTCACAGTTCTTTCGAGAATGGCAATAAACTTGAAAGAACTAAAAACTGAAAACTGAAAGAACTAAACTTGAAAATATTAAATATGTCTGTTATTAATTAACAAACGAAAATATTTAAAAGCAACAGATGCAGTTCTTAAAAATATTTGTTTTTTACATTTAATCTGATTGATTTAAATAAAAATGTATTTAATTCAAGGTATAACTAATTAAAAACATTAAGTATTTTTAAAGAATCACATCACATATTTTTTCACTTTTTAAATACACAGAAAGTATAAGAACGGTCCCATGTTAGTCTAAGGGCGTATTCATCTAATACCCTGTAATGTTCATCGATAATCATTACTGATAAATCATATTAAACTTTAAAAGAACCTTTTGGGGGATCGTTAAAAATGTTTTTTAATTACATTCTATAACTGGTGTAATTTACAATTCATCTAGTTTATGGGAATTGTAATATACCTATCCCATATTCTAGCTGCCCATAATTCATATATAGCTAACTAATATTCGTTATAACTAATATTCAACTAGTTTATATGATTTGTAATATAGCTAAACTTTCTTTCTTTCCACCGACGGCCGGGCAGCCGATCCACTGGGACAGTTAGCATTTCGTACAGGTGGCTCCGCTGACGAAATTAATTTTGTTACAAAAGTTCCTGCATTATTGGCGGCCCAGGCCTCTGTTTGATGAAGAGGCAAGTATACTGCTGTGTTTCAGTCCTTTTCAGAAGTCTATAAAACACTTTGGGGGGTTTTCTGCAAGACGAGTGCTTTGACAATTGCTGACGGATTCGAAAAAAAGTGCAGGGCGAGTCAGTGGTTCAGAGATGGAAGAAGGGTGCAATACGGGTAAGGAGAGAACTTTCGTGTCCACAATATACAAAGCTAGAGATGGACAGATATAACTTAAATAATGTTAATGGTCTTCACAACATGAAACTTTAATGAGCTCTTTAGATACAGGTAAAGGTATGACTGAGTTACATGGGTATACTTGATACCATAAGCTATATAATACACTGGTGTGATAATGAAAAACTAACGAGTTACCGATACAAAAGGATAAAATAATACATTAAGTAAGGCAATATACGCAATTATATATACAATTCAAGGTTAAAATTAGAGTACATAAATTTACTAAAAGATAATATATGTATATGTTACGGTGAAACACCGAAATCTGGAGAATGTCGACTTTCACCGGTGAATGTCAACATTCACACAGTCTCTTGGTGTATGTCCGAAATATTTTCCAAATACTCTTATTTCTGACTTACACCGGTCAATGTCGGCATTCACCATATACTAATTGTGAATGTTGAACATATAAAAATATTATATTTTCTTCTCCGTAATTCAGTCGCGAATAAACGCACTTGAAACTTGAAATAAGAACTTAAGAACATGAGAACCTAAAACACAAATACTTCAAATGAGAAAGGATAATAATAGAAGTTAAAAACTTACTTATTATACAGTACGTTCTAAATGAGAAAATAAAATAACAGTAACAAAAAACTTACTAAATTATGTGATTCAAATTTTATTTATTTATTGCAACAGCTTAAATTATTATGGCACTTTATAACCTCTCTTTTCGACTTTCACCAGAGCATATCTGTGATTGTCGACATACACCGGTGAGGTTCCGAATATATAAGAATGTAATGAAATATTCGGTCTTTCACCGACATATTTGGTGAATGTTGATATTCTCCGGTGAAAGTCGACATTCTCCAATTTCGGTCTTTCACGTTAACATATGTTTATATAGTATGCATTTAATGTGTATGTGTGCATATATATATATATATATATTGTTGCGTGCGTACGGGTTCGTTACGAAATGAATGCACAAGTCCGATGAAAAATGAACAAAAATTTATTATTATCACAACAATAATGCTTAAATTTTCTCAAATTATCATGCAGTATTACAATATCTCACAGTAGTAATCTTTTAACAACTCAAATGTCCAATAGAACGTAATTCAAAACAGCTAAAGAAAGCTAATCCGCGAATTCGCTACAATCAACAAGAGCAGTTTTCTAATCAACAACAAACTAAGCAACTACTACAAACTGAGATGTTTTCCTCCTTTTATAAGATTTTAAAATCACGCGCTAGAATTTTCCAGTACTTTCTCGAAATCAAAAAGAGATATTTATTTATTTAATGCACGCGCTCTTGTATTTTCAATTTTCCGACTTAGCTTTTTTTTAATATTCGTCACGCGCTGCACTGCGCGAGAAATAAAACAATTTAATTTATAGTTGAACTAACATTAGCTTTTTAAATACCAAATTCGTAACACTGCCCCCTTCCCAAGGACTGCACATCCCGGGCAGTACAATCCCTGGACAGGAAGCTAAATTTACAACTGTGGCATAAATGCATTAATAAGCATTACAGCACAATAATAAACAACATGAAACAATAAATGCAATAAATAAAACAAATCAATGCTATCAAATACAATCAAATACTAAATGCAAATCAAATACTAAATACAAATCAAATCAAATACACATTTAAAAACAAAAACGACCATGGTCTTATACTATTTACAATTATTTACATTACGTAATATGGCCATAGTAATGAGCTAACCTGTCGTAATGAACGACTTTAGGTTTAGAGTTCGAAGACTTACGAATCCGAACCACGACGTCATTCAGCTTGTTTAGGACTGTGTACGGGCCATCCCAAGGTGACTGTAATTTCGGACAAAGTCCTTTGCGTCAAGTCGGATTCCACAACCACACCTTGTCTCCTTCGTGGAATTGATGTTCAGTAGCTCTTGTGTCGTATCGGGTCTTCATCTTCTCCGTCGCCAAGTTGACTCGCTCTCGTGCAAAGTTGTGCATCACTTCAAACCGGGCCTGGAGATCTTGAATATATTCCTCAGACGAAGAAGGAGCATCCGGAGGGCGGCCAAACAGTAGATCACAAGGCAGACGAAGATCACGATCGAAGAGCATCTGTGATGGAGAATAGCCGGTAGTCTCGTGGACAGCACTGCGGTAAGCCAGCAAAAAGAGTGGTAATTTCTTGTCCCAATCCTGTTGGTTTCTGGAAACCACTAATGAGAGGTTATTAAGGATGGTTCGATTGAACATCTCTACTATGCCGTCCGACTGGGGATGCAATGGCGTAGTTTGAGTTTTGTCAATGCCGAGTAGTTTGCATAGTTCTTTGATTACTGCCGAGGCAAAATTCCTTCCCTGATCGGAATGTAACTGAAGAGGCACTCCGAACCTGGAAATCCAGTGCTGTATCATTACCTCAGCTACTGTGACAGCCTCTTGATCAGGAACAGGGTACGCTTCAGGCCATTTGGTGAAGTAATCAATGACAACGAGTATCTATTTGTTGCCATCAGCAGTTCGTGGAAGAGGTTCCAAGATGTCAAAGGCGATACGTTCAAAAGGCGCCCCTACGTTGTAACGTTGCAGCTTGCCTCGGCTGCGTCTCTTCGGTCCTTTTCGACCTGCACAGGCATCGCAGGATCGGCACCACTTTTGCACGTCATCATTATTCCAGTAAAAGCGCTCACGAACTCTCTGTAAGGTCTTCATTATTCCGAAGTAGTCTGCTGCGTAGGGCTGCTATGT